TGGGCGTTGGTAAGAGAAACACATACAGGTAGTAGTTATCACAGTGGCTTTCAATTCCTTCCCTTCTCAACATATCCTGCCCTTTCTACATATCATCCCTTAGAAACAGAACTCATTTTCATTTCTGCTTCCACTACTCAGCCATTTTCAGAAAGGGAGTACTTTCTTCTGCTTCTCCCATTGCTTTTACTAAAGATATTTGTATATTTTTCTTGCCCTCTCAACCCCCTGAAAATTAGCTGTTAGGCCTTTTCCATCCTAAGATATATGTTCCAAAAGCCTTTATCTTTTTTATATTGCACTTTTATCTTCTGTGCTTGAGATTTAAATCCTTAAGAGCCCCACTCCTAGAGACTACCCCAAGTCTGCTCTGGCTAATTGGTTTTAATGGCATACCTTCCTCTCTGTTGCTTCAACAGAAATTTTTCTGTCTCATCTCATTTCCTGACAAACACACATCTGATGAATCCTCATTTATATTTGACTCCAGCATTGGCTCACTTCACTTTCTCTTTAGACACAATCATTGCAGGTAAGAAAGCCAGCTTGTCTTCCTGCTGCTTCTGAATCAGTTGCTCTGCATGGCAGCAGGGAAGAAGAACAAGATGAAAACCCTGGTGGATAAGCAGGGAGCTTCACCTAAAGTCTGGGTGAAGCTTCTGTTCTTTTCCCCTCAGTATTTCCTAACCAGGCACAAATACCCATATTGAAGGGGTTTTTCCTTACAAGTTCATCAAAAAACTATCAGAAATTCAGAGAAAAGAACATAGTAATGGTTGCTGCTCCCATGTTTTCACCTTCTGTGGTGATCTCCACCACCAAAAACTGCCATGATTGTAGCAAACCCATCATCTGCACAAAAACCCACTGACCTTGAAACCTCTTTCACTGGTTATGTTACTTTGGTGATAATTTTGATGATTCCTAGAACAATAATCCTTGATTGTGGAATTGCCCCGGTTGCATCTGCTACTGTCCTGTTTCTCAGTCTTGTCATCATCTGTGTTTTGACACCAGACACTGGGTTACCCTCTGTTAGCAGTTACAATTTGGGTAGCAACTTTACTGCATCAGAAAGGATCTTATCAGGAGGGTGAAGTATCAGGTAGCTGGATTTATCCTTTGGGAAATTATGCACTGGCATTCTCCACCTTCTTAATTTACATTGAGATAGAGTAACTCTGGCCATACCAACTGCTGGTAGGACTGCAAGGCACACAGTTTGCAGCTAAAAGAGCTAAGGAGAAGTAGACAAGTTCTTAAATGAAAGATGATGGCTCACTAAGTTTAGTAATGAACAGGGACAGGACACATACTCATTACTGACTTTAACACGTTATTTTGCACCCAGAGAATCAGTCATGGAGAAACCTTTGCCTTGTAGCAAAGCCTTGAAACAGGAGCAGCACTTGAATTCTTCATCAGCATATGGCAGTTATTTTCTTAGCAACATCTCTCAGATCTAGCCTTCTGCAATTGAGCTGGCTCCTGGCACCTGTGACAGCTAAAGGACTCTTCAGGCTCAGTACATGCCTACAGGAACTTTAAACAGGGTCTTGAGTGACACACACATTTCAGGTACTCTAGAAGTAGTTCTGGCTAGCTTGGTGGAGTATAATACCTGTCCCTACACACAGAGCTTTTGAGACATATGGAAAATGCTCGCATGGATGTTACACTAGCTACCATCCAGTTTTCACCACTGCATGGCAGGACAGATGAGATGCATTTCACAGCTTGTCAACTTTGACTGATCATTGATTCCTTTTCTTTTCCATAGTAAAAAGGTAGGAAAAAAAAGCTTTGTTTCCTAGCACAAGATGGGGTGGTGCATTTTACCTCCTCACTTTTAACTGACATCAGTGCCTACAAGGTACTGTCAAACTGCTTACTGCTGCCATAAATATCCCAAGTAACAAGGATACAGCTCATCACCCAACTTCACAGCAGCCCTTGTCTCCTTATGCCAGGATGCATTTGCTGGCTGGTCCACATCATTAGGATACAGACAATCTCATTTTTGTACACTCCCAGTGCCTGCTTTGTCAGTAGAGAAGGATAACATCAGGCACACGTACCTAGCAGTGGCTGGTTGATTCTTTTACCTCCTTAATTTAGCATGGGCTTTAATGCTGGAACAGAAGTTTTCTAATTGCTCATGAAGACAATGCTAGAGAATATTATAGCAATCAAGGCCAGATTCTAGCAAAAGGAAATCCAAGTACTAGGTTAATATCATTACAGCCTGCAATATCATCAGGACTGAAAGGAACAATATACAGAGAAAAAACAAGCTTCTCAAAATTAACAGAAACAAAAAAGTAGGATGTAAAGAAATTACTTAGAAGTAGTGGATTTCATGTAGAAATTAAAGTTGCTGAATTCAGTCTTTAATCTAAAAGCTACATAGTCTGGAGAAGCTCTTCAAATACCTAAAACATGTTGCAAAGAGAATAGGAAGAAGCCTTTCTGTATGCCCACAGCTAAGACAAAAAGAGATCAGGATCCAGCATGGTAGATTTATCTTTTCCTACTATCTACCTTAATACTAATAATGCCAAAAACTTACAGAGAGGAAGGATAATCTTTAACAATTTATTTCAGAGCAGACAAGTCTGTCCTGCCACATACGGTAAAGATGCAGCTGATTGTGCCATGCTGTGGAATAAAAACCAAGATGAACTTTTGCATTTCATTCAAGGATTTAAAGATTTCTAACACCACTATTGTTCAGAAATCTGACAGCTGAATATTGAAATTTGGAATCTTTAACCAAAACTGCCTTTTGGCTAATCATGTTTTTGCTACCTATTACAATGAAGTGAAAGATTTGCAAACCTTACCAACTTTTACAGCATCTGAAAGCTGATTTGACAATCCAAGCATCATGTAAAAGGAAAGAATGAAAGAGAGTTTTCTTCCTGCTACTTAGGTTAAAACTGCTAATGACTGCTGAAAGCTCAGATTTCTACTCTAGTTGCATGTGCAGATATCAACCTTAAGTGTCACAGCAAAGTTGAGAATGTATATAAAAAAAAATCTTCTTACTTTGAATATTGATTTATTTATTAATCAACTTGCTCCTTTTTCAAGTCTGTTTCCCTAATTTCCAAATTATGTGGAAGTTATTACTGCATGGTTAGACCACCAGACAGGAGAAAGAGGTGCCAGGTTACTGTACAAATAGCAGGTTATTAACAGAAGGGCCACTGAGGCATTTGGGGCAGCAGCATCAGGAGTGTTGCCTGAGTTCAGACAGACACTGCTGGGACGGGGTGAACAGCCTGAGCAACACCTGAAACACACAGCTGCCCTTTGCAAAGCTCGGGTTGAGGAGCAGCATGTGTGCCCAAACCAGTGGGCAGCAGATGCTGAAGCTCACAGGCACTGTGTACTGAAGACTTTGTCTGTGAGTGCTGTGTCAGCCTCCATCAGACCTGCGTTCCTGGAGTGCAACTTTTATTCCTCAGAGCTGCAGTGTCAGGCTCCCTGCTACCAGGCTGAATGGCAGGCTTGGTTGAGTGGAAACACAGAAAATCATAGCTGATCACAATCTTGTACCTCTTATCATTTTACTGACATGTCTTGTGTTAACAACTGGATGCGCTGCCTTACCTGGGAAAAGGCAGCGTGACAGTGTCTCAAATCCCAGGACTAATCTTTGGGGCCCTTGCTGCACAATTGGCCCTTCTGGCACCTTCACAGCACAGCAAGAATTTGAACATTTCTGCCTTTGGGCACCTAACTTTTGCCTCTGCAACAGATGCCCAGCCCATGACAATACATACTACCACCCAGTACCCAAGAAAGCCTCCACACTTGGCAGGAAGGCTGCTCAAGCAGCACAAGGAAAATACATCCACTCTATCCACATCCCAAGAGAAGGAATGTTAAATAGTTTTCCTGCACTCAAGAGCTTGCAGCTGTGATTTTTCAGTTAGGTTCATAAACACTTCATCTGCAAAAGAGGAGATAGCCTTATTTTCTTTAAGCCAGTTAGAAGATTTGCTCCAGGGAGGCCGAGTCCCTTCTTTACCTCAGAGGACTAAAACTCTCTTCTCTATGTTTGAGGGAAAGTATTCTAGGTTCCAGATATACCAGAAGCAGGTTGTTGCACTGTAATTGGCAAGGCCTCTGGGGACATTTTTACTTGCTAGGAAGGAGATGTTGAGCATGTTTTTCTGAAACCTGACTCACAACAATGCTTGTCTTGCATTCACAATGGTGTGGCAAAGTTGCAGCTCAGCCTTCTATATTAACATTCTTAAGTAATTTCTGAAATAATCTTGAAGCATAACTCAAACTGAGTTGCATACTGGGAAGCTGCTTATTAAAGGAAGTACTCTCAGTTCTTTCCCTGAGGCCTAAAGCACCTGTACTCAGTATACACCTGACACTGAAAATTAATAAGCACTTTTAAATACACAACTGAAATGAGTATTTACTACAAGTTATTACGGGCATGTGGTGGTGTCCTTCCAAACCAATCAGCCACCTACTACTTTAGTAGGTATATTTACAACCCTGTAAGCTGGAAGTTGTTTCTGATTTGACGTTATTTCAAACTACAGCTAGTCCAGCAAAAGTCTCTATATACTCCTCTTGACTTAAGAGGAAGAAACCTGACAGATTTGCCCCTGCACAACTTTACTGATTTGCAAAGAAAAGATGCACAGTGAAGTCTGAATGTGTTTACAGAATACATCCTTTAAGGCAACGATTACCAGTCTTTCTTCTGATGAGCACATGGCTAACATGCTGAGCAATACCTCTTACAGGTAAGCCAATCACAGCAGCAGTGGAAAATATTGCTAATAAGTGAACCTACCAAGTACTAAGCATTCATTTTCACAGAAGGAATAAAGTGCATATTCAAGTTCCTTTCTTTTAGATGTGAGAGAAAAATTGACTTTTTTTGGTTAAAATCTGATGCAAATTTTCCCCTTAAAATAAAATTTAGAGTTGCAACCGTCACACAAAAATTGACACTTCAAGGTTATGAACAAACTAAGTTTAATCTAAACCTAGTTTACAGTTGCATCAGATGAAGAACAATTTCAGTCTTTCCAGTCAACAAATGCAGCAGAAGCCATGTCTGTGTCCGCAGGTGATTCAATACAATAGAAGTGAATCCACAGAATCAAACAGCTGATGTAAACTTCTATACCCATGGTATATACAGTCTGGAAATTTGAAGGCCAGGTTTAGTCTGATGCTTCAAACATCCTCAACACATAGGTGGTTTCAAGCTGCCTGAAAGAAACCACTGCTATTGACTTGGGTCGCCATTCAGAGCTGGAGGGCATCCTTTGCACACCCAGAGCCCAGTTCCAAGTTCTCCAAAAGTGAACTCAAGCACACCAAAATGGCTTTGGCAGCCAAACCAGTCTGGGGCAAGTGAAGATGAGAGAGGGATTTGCTCCCAAACTGCACAAACTACATTGCTGCTGTAGATGCAGCTGGAGCCATCCCCTACAGAAACCACATTTATTGGGATGTTGGGTCTCAGGCAATGCTTTTAACCCAGGGCTGAATGACCACTTCCCAATGAACTGTGTTGCAGTGTTCCCAATGGAGCCAGATGGCAGAATTGTTATCAGCATGTAGAGCATAAGAAGTAGTAATGATGTGATCAAAATGACAATGATTTTAAAGTTTCATTCTACCCACAGTATGAATTTGAAGACAGTCATAAAAAAAGGGGCTGCTCAGGAGAAACCAAAAGCACAATTGCTGCTCCTGATGCAGATGTTCATAAAGAACAATTGCTTACTTGCAGAAGTTAGAAATTCCTTCATATAAAGGGGAACTAGGATGCATAAGATGTAATACACTTCAAAAATGCAAGCATTGTACAAGTCCATTTTACAAGCTATCATGTCTATTACATCAACATTCAACAATACAAAGCTTGTATTTATATTTAAAAATAGAATATAAACAAGTAGTAATTCACATTAAGACAATTGCCATAGCAAAATTTCTCAGAGAAAGTGCTTTACCTACACAAAATACCCTAAAGACTAACAAGCAAGCTCTAAAGTTCTCCAATTTAAGAGGGGTAGGGGTAGAAACAAAAAAAGTGCAAGTGACATCCACAATCTTGACAGAAATCAAGCATTCTGAATATGCCATGTGCCTCAGCTGAGAGTCAGGTCAGCTTCATCTGCAGAGTCGTTACACCCTAAATATGATACAACACCATTTTGAAAAAGTAAGAGAATAGTTTATTTACTTAGACATGGCTTTATTGAAGCTATAACTTAATAAATTTGATGCTCCAGCTGTAAAGTTAACTCACAGACTAAGAATTACCACAACAAGAAAAAATATAAGTAATACAAATCTACTTTGTCATCCAACTGGTAGAATTGAACCTGAAGGATGGTATTCTTTCAAGATAAGGAATTAAGACTATCACAGGACTGAATAAACAGGGAAATACAGTAAGAGTACTTCACAGTAAAATACCTCTTTATTAGGAATATATTTAAAAGTAGCTTTTTATTTCAGATAAGAAAAATAGCATTCTGACTTTTAGCCAGTGCTGATTCTGGTCATACACAACATTCTAAACAGCTAGAAAAGTTATTTGCACCATTGTTGCCCATTAACAGTTCTCCCAATTGTCCATTCACTGCTGTTTAGCTTGTTCTCAAATATGTTGGAAGAAATTCTTTGAAGGTTTGTATTTAGATCTTAGTTAAGACTGACAGACTGACTTGACAATGATTCAGCATTTGTTATTGGCTCACATACAACGTTTATAAGCTGATTTTAAAAGAACATCACAGTTCAGTAGCTTATATACAAAGACAATTGAGAGAGCAACTCTCCAGGAAGACTGTGGTAGAACAAATCCCGTTCTTCTACTATACACTTTAGTACTGTAAAGTAGCAGTGGTTTCAAGAACTTCTATACCCCTGTATAAGAGAGCACTGAAGAACAGAATATTGGAGTATTGCTATTACAATTCAAACAGCAAACTACTTTGTGTGTATTTTTTTATACTCAGTACCAAGTCTAGACTCTTTCTCTTGCCATGCTGTAACTTGAGTTAAAGGTAGTTAACTAAATCATGCTGTAAACAAAGACATAAAACCTTTGTGCAAGCTTTACTGTTTAGGAGTGAGCATGAATACTTGCCTTCTCAAAAATAAAAAAGCTTTTTAATTTTCCATCATGAGCATATAAGTATGTAGCATATTATAGAACAAATTTTTATCCAATTAAAAATGAAAGTTATGCATTTCATAGAAGTGCTATACAGCATTTGCAATGGAGTCTGTGTTTTTAGATACCTGACATCCATTTTCAATATGAGATACATCAAGGAAGGTATTCTCCAGACACATGTATTAATTTTTGGTCTTGTAATTTCTTCCATCCTCTGTAGCCAATATGAAGCTAAAAGATACCTGTTTTAAGTAGACTTCATTGTGTAGATGTTTCTTAAATGCAGATGGAAACAACTGATAATATTACAATCTCCAAATACACAAGTTTGTGGTTGTTTTAAGCAGAATTTTAAAAATATTTAGAAACACCAAAACCAGGCTATATCAGGAAGGAATCTGATACTCAAATAAATAGAAAATTTGCGTTTTAATGTCACATTGAATTTTAGTACATTTCAATCCAAGAAAAAATAAACAGACATAGTAATGAGTACAGGATTATATATATTACAATATGCCTTGTTATAATACATTTGTAGCTTTATGATAAAAAAGCTCGAGGGCAGATGGAGTTTGAGCTCATTTAAGTAATTGTCAGAACAAAGCATTAAATGCATTTCTGGAGTAAGTACTTTTATTTAATTTCAAAATCTTAAACCAGCATTAGACCTTGGCCTTTTCTTTAAAAAAAATAATTAGCTACCATGGAGCTAGCTAGGTAAGTCTTCTGACAGGTTTAAATGATACAGAAAATGCTTTTCCCAATTTTACATAAAATGAAAGGACAGACGATTTCTACAACAGCACCTATGGCGAACTCCATGTTGACCTTGACCTAGAAATGCACGTTACTGATCTCCACAAGGAACCCAGCAAATTTTGGAAGTTGTCCATTTCACATGAAAGCAAGAGAAAGGGTTATCATATGCAAAAATATTTTTTCAAACTGTTCTTAACGTGTAATTGAAAACTAAAGGCATGGTCTCTTCATTATAAAAAAATAAAGGTACAACAGAGACTCTAAAGGAAGATACTCAGCTATACTGAAGTTGCAACCCTCTGAAAGGAAGGAAAAAGGAAAAAAGTCAATTAGCTAAGCTTTATGCTCTAACCAAACTACTTACAGTGATTTTCAATGGCAAAAGCCCATGCTGACTGGGTGATCTGACAGTTCCAAATACTTTTTGTAATAATTTTTATTTGTATACAAGGACACTAAAACGATCCAGTCATGCAATGTTCACTAAGCATTCTGCATCTCTTTTCCAATCTTATAGCTAAGGATCTTGTTCCAGTCAATCTTGGTGCGGGTAACTGGCAACTGTCGACGTAAGGCCTTGAAAGTAGTGTCGGACATAGTCTGATAATTCTCACTGATAGCAGTCTGTTAAACACAAAGTCATACAAAACAAAGACACATGAAGAACAGAACTAGGACGCTATATAAACATTAAATGATTGAGAAGCTTGCTACCTCTTAAACAGGCTTAATAAAACCATGCTAAATTAAAATAATATTTTACGAAGGAAAGCTGTTAGATATAGATTGAAACTATGTGAAGAAAATTAGTGAGACATGTAATAAAGCTGGCCATAGCCAAGGTGTTTCAGCAAACCAGTGTGGTTAATCAGCAGCACAAATAAAGTGCTGATCAGAGTTAGCGCATACATCAGTAATTCCAGACACCAAAGTCTCCCAACTGTTTTTCCTAGAAGAGTGGTAAAGCTGGTCCACAACATTGTATGAACTTGAATTTAATGCATACTATACCTATTTAAAAATTCTTTATTAAAGAGCATTTTTTTTCAAGCTGACAGAACATGGTGTCTAAATTTACCTTATGTTCAAGACCTGAATGAACATCTATCCGCTTCTGCAGAGGGTATCCAGAACAGTTACACTTTTCTAACTTTGAAATGACTAATTGAAATAGGTAATGCCTAATCATATTTAGCAATACTGTCCAACAGAGTAGCCTCTGAACAGAATCTGTACAAAAATTCCATTTAGGGAATGCACTAATGCTTAAAGAGATCAGAATTGCTGATATTTGATCCTGCTAACAGCTTTTCTGCTCTCAAAAAATTACTTCTACTGTAATGTTAAGTAGGTGAGCACAATCCCTAAAAGGTATGGAAAGGCAAGACAGAGTTAACAGCAGCATGTTATCTATTTATATGGAACTGCATTATCTTAATAACAAAAGCTTGCCAGTTACAGAATACTAGCTTTGGCTAAGTATATGGTAATGCTATAACTATGAGTAAGGATACAGCATTTGTTTCCAACATACCTGATATTCATTTTCTGCAGCCTCTACGATTTTTATAAATTCCTTTGCTGTCTGGGCTTCATTCTAGGAAAAAAAGCATTTGAATTAGTCTGATATACAGCATAATTCTAGGACTAATTAGATTATGTTTTTCCTATAATTTCCTATGTTAGATTATGAATAATATCAGGTAGACTCAATGAGAACACTTGACCATATTCAGTGGCTAAACCAAAACTGAACAAAACATTAATCCAAAAGGCATATTCAGCCAAACTGCAACAAGCATAAAGATTACCATGGAGCTTATTAAAATATTTTAATTAAAAATTCTATGGTATGATAAAAAGACATACGGAACAGAACAGCATTTGGAAATATGACAATCCATACACAGGTCTCTAAAAACATGCCAAGTATTGATAACAACGTTATCAATGCTACATTTCTAGTACAAATCCAAGAAGCACCACCTAAACCAGAAGTTATAGAAACTGTTTAAGGATGCAAGTGTATGTTTGTTTTAAAAATAAAACATTTTCCACCAGTCAATCTGGAGGCAAATTAGCTGAAAAGCTTGAAAGAAGCCTCAAGAAGGAAGTGATAGTTCATGAATTTCCAAACTTCCAACTTAGATTGGAGACATTCCTAAAGGTGCTTTTGCAGAAACTGTTAAAAGGTAGAAGTGTTCTTGTCCCATGTGATCCCTCATTCCTACAAAGGCAAAGACCGGGAGAAAACTGACAATTTCAACTATAACTTCTTCAAAGTTTCAGTGAAACTGCACCTAGCAGCTGTTAAAGTGGTCCTGGACATTGCAAGAGAGATGAAGGAAGCAGCAAAGACCAAGAAGAACAAAGGAAAGGGTTTTGACTTTTCAATGAACTGGGGCAATGCTTTCAAAGGCTCTGCTAATGAAAGGAAAAAAATCAGAGATATGAGGTCTTATTTGTCTCAGAGAAAAATAAGGGATAAGAAAATAACCTTCAGCAAAATTATTTACACCTCATTTATTTCAGTTGTGCCTGTTGATGGTGTAAAATGGCTTCTCTGCAACAACAAAAAAGAGAAGCCATTGAGACTCCTACCTACCTGGTAGGTCAATCTACCTACCATTTTTTCTGTGTGAAATAGGAACTTGTACAGCCTCTGCCCTCTATAAAGCTCAAAGCCAAGGTTAAAAATTCGTAACCAGCAGCATACTTGCTTTTGTTCTAGCAAAGTTACGTAAAAGATGTTTTCCTGCTCATCGGTCTTCTGCTGCTTTACTGAATTGCAAAACAGAATTAAATTTCTTCCCAACAGAAAGTGAAGAAAAAGCTATTGAAAGGAGAACTGCATCTACATAATCTTCCCTGAAATAACTCTTATATGAATGAAAAACTAAATAGATCCCTTTGCTCAGGGAGTCAAAAGTAATTTTATATCTACTGCTCCAGAAGTGTTATCAGTTGGCACCACAATCCCCCATTCTTTATGGTGCTATTGCAACTGAAAAGCCAACAAGCCTCACTTTGTATTAATAAACAATGTTCTTTATTGATGAATTGAGCTTTTGAGCCAAATCAGTTACTGCTAGTCGTTATCATTAAAATACTTCTACTGTTCACTTTTACAACTTCTCTTTGCCAGTTTAACCTCACTGGCTTAAGTTTTATTAAAAAACACTCCAACAGAAAATTTTACTGTTTATAAACACAATTATAAACACATTTTCAAAAGCAGTAGTTGTTCATGCTGCAACATTATCAGCCCTTAAAAGATACATCTGGTACTATTTCCAAGCAATTTTTATTTCTACTGTTTGCTCCTCATTACTATAATGATCCATTTGGAAAGAAGTTGAAAAAGATGATGCTTTAAATACAGTGTGTTATGCTTCTCAAGCTGAAGCATCTGTGAAAGGGCTTTTTGTACAGAAAAGCAAGAGGCTGACAGCACCAGCTACAGACAGGGAGAAAATGAAGAGAATACCTACCACTACTTCTGAACTGGTAGCATTTGTTTACTATTTTTAGCATAGTGGTCTTCTCCTAGCAAGCAAAGGAGGCAATCTCCTACTAAAGTCAGTTACTATAACTCAAACCTCCCTCATATTCCAAAATTAATTCTATAGGTCACTCGGCAGACAAAAGTTTAAATCCAACAAAAGTGCAGAAAGACTGACAGCAAGCTAGTTAAAGCTTTAATATCAAAGTTATTTTAACTTATACAAGCCACATGCAAGCATACATTAATTTTATCTTTTTTGACTTTTTTTAAACATGAACTACATATTAGGTAAAAGTAGTAAATATCACATGCAAAATATTTGTAAATTAAAACATTAATTCCCATGCATGCAGAAGAACAGACTTGCCTCCAAACTTCTGAGCTTTTTTTTAAGCTTGCTTTTATTTTTAAATTATTCAATATACCCATTAAGGTCCTTAAAGTTCACTTACAGACACTGTTAGAGAATCTTGTATGTCTTTATGGCTCACCAGCTGAACATTACCATCTTCATAATAGTGAACCTACAGACAATTAAACAAAAAACCTCGCATTTAATGTTACAGATCAACAACATACAGGAAAATCAAAGTATTGTGTTATTTATCATAGTAACAAACCTATAAAAATCAACCAAAATGGCATAGAAAATGTTACAGAACAAAAGCAAATAGGAAAACCAAAATATTGTAGAATTTACTATTTTTGAGGGGGATTACTAAAGAGGATACTCTGGAAACATTTTTGTGTTGATATGCCTTATGCAGTATTCCATACAAAGAAGTTTAGGTTTTGATTAACATCATGAAGACAACAACATACAATTTACATGACCTTACTAGAAACGCCTGAAATGAATAGACCTGACTACTGAAAATGGTGAAGATATATTTAAAATTAGAATAGTTTTGGCAAGGTTTCAGGACACTGTGAAGTTGTTCTGCTTCCCCCAAACTGTTTCCTAGGGACAGTGCAACATTAGGCTTCCCTTTCTAGATCTGCCTGGGTTTGATATTTTCCTCTATTAGATATGGCTCATAACAAAACCTGGTATTTATCTAGACAAGGGAGTTCTTTGGAACAAAGTTTGCTAAGGTTAGATTGCAAAGCAGGATAATATCTATTTACTCTTAAAACATTGTATCTACAGAACAGCTTCCTTGATTATATTGCAGGAGGAGACCAGTAAAACTCTACCCCAAGCTAACTTTAGTACTTTTAAATTCAGTTGGGAAGGATTCGAAAACATTTAGTTCCTAATGCAACTGTTGGAAAACTTAAGAAATCCCAATGAAATGGCAAAACCCAAAGAAATATAAATCTCCCCTCTTGTCCATGACAATCCACTGCAGGGGCCCAAACCTCCTCTGTGCTCTCAGGCCAACCCCAGCACAAACATCCTATCTGTCACTGAATCACATTCTTGGCAAACAGGCCTAAAATCTTAACAGGGATGAAGAGTCAAATCTTATTCTGGGATGTGTTATATCTTAAACTAAATATGAGACATAAGTGTTCTGTACTACACCTCCCTACTGATATCTTTCTAGAATGCTAGGTCTGGGTTCAGAAGACTACAAGAAGGAGGATGTTTATGAACAGAACCTCTTGAAAAGGTTGTTAGGAGGGATATGAATAACAAATTATCTAAGAGGTAAAATTAGTAACCAGAACACTTAGTATTCCATGCACAGTTTGAACACGTTAAGCACCAGAAGGACTAAGTTTTAGTAAAAAGTTCTGCTGTTACCTTTCCCCTTACATACAGAACAAAAAGAAAATTAAACAATGGAAGAGACTCACTCTTCCATCTCCTGTATTAGAATTTATTAAGAGAAATAAAAAAAAAAGAAGAAATTGTGCAAGTGATCTTAGAAATGCTGAAGACACCTGTGATGCTGCCATTTCCCCCAACTTATTCATAAAAGGCCTTATCAGAAACAGGGCAATGGCATATTGTTGTCAAAGATTTTGCAAACAACACTGAAATTACACAAATTCCACTCATGTCTTAGGGAGTTGATATTCTATAAGATTATTTTGCTCCTTAAAAAAAATTAAAGCACCTTTTTTACTTATTTGTTTTGAGAGATGAAAGGGGAGCACTTCCACATACATTGAAGAAATTGTACACAATTTGCAAAAATTTGAAAGTGAGTTCAGAATTTCTTGGTGAAACAACTATGTCCTATACAAGCAATAAAAGCAGAACTTCTCATTGCTCTACAGAACACAGACTTTATTAAATGTAAATAATTACTTGATTTATTATGCAAAATAGTAACAAAAGACAAAATCAGCTGGTGCCCAAATTGAAAAGCTGATTAGAACTTAAGTTCCTTGGTTAAACTATTTTCTAGGCTACTGGGCTAATCTTTTATAGAATTAGGTAGACACCTGCCTCCTTGTTCTGGAAAACCTCTGAAGACATTTAATCAAAAGTGTGTGCTGTGCAGAAAATGCCTGTTTTGCTGCAAGCTGAATTTAAGTGACAAAGTCTTGAGAAGCCTAGAAGTTACTTAAGGTGCGGGATACTATGACCGTTGTGATCTGACAACAGAATAACGGGTGCCCAGATTTTGACTGTCATTACAAATGTTATGGAATTTGCCTCAGAATGGGAAATCAGATTCAGGTTCCCTTGCTTGGGTGGATCTGAACACAGCTACCATATCCTAAAATATCCTAGCCTCAGGCTATGGCTAGAAAAACATCCCTTTGCATCTTCCTTCTGAAATCATCACTGATCAGTAAGGATGAGCAAACCTCATAGGGGCAGAAAAAGAGCAGGAGAAGGGAACTTGATCTATATCTTATAAAAAACATAATAAAGTACTATGCTGATAGTCAAACTGCACTAAGATTCTAGTCCATGATCCCAGAACTGTTTTAATAAAGTCTTGCAAAGTATGCATACATATTCCAGAGAACTAATCCAGGAAGTCAAGTCTCCCTGACATGACAGTCAGACTTCCTTTGGTGTCAAGACTTCTGCCTGCTTCACATTCCTCCTTTCTGAATGCCCTAAAGCCAACAGGAAGGGCAAATTCTGAATGAAGAAGACCCAGATTAAAAAATTTCTGATAGTGTAATTGCTGAAACCACAGGTTCTGAACAACAGAATAACAGGAAAAAAACCCTATTTTTAGTTAAAATGAAAAAAAAAAAGTTCTACTTCAGAAAGGGTCTACCCTCAGGAAAGACTTGTCCCACTGTGAATTCAAGAAATAGGAAACCAAAGAGGTATATGCCTAGCTGAGGTGAATACACCTTCTGAAGTCTTCTGTATCATTACATTAAACACATATTTTGTAAGGATTAGGTAAATATGCAATTAAGTCACTCACATGTAACTGAATTGCTGCTTTGCTTACGGGGAACCCAAATTCTCTTAACATATTTAATACACTGGCCTGAGTCTCCCTCGGTAATAACTGGAGACTTTACTGACCAGGACACAGTTTGAGATAAGCATACCTGAATTTTCAAGATGCCAGCCACTTGAGTGGTTGAAGGGGTGATTGTAAACTTCCATTCTGACCTCCAACGGCCATTCCTTTAAAAAACAATAAAACAGAAATTGGATGTCACCCCACTGGTTAAGAAAAAAAATCCCAACATACAACTAAGAGTCAAAGGAAACCAGAGAATTAAGTTTGCAGTGCAACTACACATGCACAAAATCTTCCCCTAAAGACTTAGCCTCTATCAGTGAAGAACAGAATAGTTTTTCAAAATATTTAACCTCAGTTTTCAATGTGGACCAAAGAGATTTATTAGTTAGGATATTTTAAGAATAGGACTTCTGAAAATACCTAAAGCCTCCAGTGTTCTTTCCGTCTTTCAGCATTAATTAGGCATTTACAGTCAATATTTTGTTTCCAGGACCTGGATGACTTGCTGGATCAGTCAAAGTCATACTTCACCTCAGGCTATCAAAAACTTGAATGGAAGGAACATTCAAGTAGCAAGACTTTCTGCTATGCTGAGCTGTAACTAGGCCTTTTAGCTCTTCTAGTATTTCCCTTTCAGGACAACTATTTCCTTCCAGTTCTCTTCCACAAATTCAGCATCCTTGTCAAAAGGCTTAAAGGGAGTTTCAAACATCTGGAAAACAGCACGAGGAGAGTGGAGTTTCACCTGATTTCTTTCCAGTAGACTAGACATCTTTTTATTCAGTTATGAGGTTAGTGGATTAGAAGGTTAGTACACTGAAGCTGTATTAAGAATGCATGGCAGCTCTCCCTGATTCCTCCTGTGTTTGCACTTAAAGAAGGAAAGAAAGTTAATACTAGGAGTTCCAGTCCTGCTAATGTTAGGTGTAACTTCCAGTGCTCCAGTGCATTCAACAATGGGAGAGAAAGAGATAAAATACTAAAATTAACAGCTACTAATGAATCTATATAATGACACATCTTAGATACAAACAACAATAACTTAACTATAAAGCATTTGGTTATTATTTCAGACAAATTCCAAATTATCACTGAAAATTCAGAGTAAAGCAATTCAGAAGCTTGTTGGCATCATTGAAAAAACACTGAAAGGTTGCCCAACTCAGTGACACTAATAACTGGTAGCCTTATAGACTAACCCATTGGTTATGAGAAAGCTTACATGCTGAACTACACTTCAGGTATAGCTTTTAGATGCCTGGGATTCAATAGCTAGCTAACAGATTTGTTTGCTTCTTAGCCACTTTGTGGTCCCTTGAAGTTAAGAAGACCACAGTGTTTCCAGTCTGGGATATCTTTTTTGCCCTTAAGATGCTTTCCAAAAAAAAAAAAAGAAGGAGTTAAAAGTTCAGAAGAACCCTTCTGTAGGAAATGCTCTGAGGTAAAAACAAAGTTATTACTTTATTTAGTTCTACTGACTTCAGATGTTTTGCAAGAGATTAACTATCCTTCCTTTTCTTCCACATTCTTTAATAAGCCATCTATCCTACTATATTGATAGTATTTCAGATAATCACAGAGTATTTTTATTTGGTATGTATTGGTTTTCTATCATCCAACAAACTTGCTCTCATGGTAGGTTGACAGCCTTCCAAATGCCTAAGAAGTTGGGACACCCTGAGGATAAATACTGCCTGTAGCTTGGGCTGGATATCCAGACATACAGCTGCATCACTGAGGAGCATGGTTAACTTTGAATCCATTTCTCCATCCCCATATCCCCCAAACCAATAGGCATTATTACAACTCGCTAAGAATGAGAATTAGAGTCTGACTATCCCCCTGAAAAACTCTTAGAAACATGGTAAATATTTACCCATAACTTTAATAAAGAAAACTTCCAAGAAACATTTTCTCTATTTATACAACGTTGCTACATATCTATCTCTCTTCTTTAAAGACTATAATATTAAAGTAACTATTTGGAATATCAAAATTCATTCACACTTCCAAATAAAAAAGAAAATCAGTGTTATTATTTCAAGTTACTTTTTGTATTGATGTAAAACATGCAGACTTAACTAGTCAAGTTTAAGTCAATAGGAAAAATAACTTATTAGCTGTACCAATTCAATAAAAATCGCTGTGCTGGGCAAATAATTTAACTGATATATACACATGGTGAAATTACTATGCATATGTAATATCCACCTTCAGCATTAGAAAACAAAGATTTCTGCAGTCCTGTCATTAGCCATGGGATTACTAAATATAAATTTCAAGCAGATGGAAAACAGCAAATAAAATAATAAATAAATAAATTTCTTCAGACAGCTGCATATATTAGTTATCTTTAGGGTATAACCTCCTTAACCCATTCCTGATACTGTGATATTTATCTAAACTCTGGCCAGTTTCCTGTAAGGTGCTATCCAAAGTTCACTCCAGACTGTGGAAAACATCTATCAACCAAGTCCAGAAAAAACAGAAATGTGCAGTTTGTAAGAGTTCATTTCATCCAAAATTATCTTTATCTACCTCTCACAAAAATTAATCACTCAAATCCTACTGTAAATAATTTCTGGTCACTTCTCTAAAACATTCAAAACAGGAGGAGCTGGTTTTATTCTGTCAATCACAAAGGAAGCAACACACACAAAAGCAACTGCCTTAGGGAATACAGCCATGGTATTGGTGCCAGTGTGATAAACTGTGTCATATGGAATTTTATAAAGTTCTGCAAAGGAGATGCAGGCATGCAGTCTGACATTTTACTTACCACAAAGGAAAAGATGTCTACAGTTTTGGCAGAAAAATGTGGAGTGGGGTGAAGGGAGAAAAAAGTCACATACAAGATGTATACTCATATTCTTCTCTGAACTAAGGATTATCAGTGATGTGGCACTTAATCAGTTTGCTGTATTTTACTCTGTGTGTATCCATACAGAAACTTACCAAAAATTTTTTGCTTGGAACTGATGGCTCTCTATGCATGCAATAATGGTTTGCTGTCCATCAATTGTTTTACCATACACCTGAATTAAGAAAAAACAAGAACAGTAAAAAAGTAAAAAAAAGAACAGAGTCCAGCTTTCAGTATATCTTGCTCAAACTGCTTAGAGCTACCTGGTTCTACTACTGTTAAACTGTAAAATTTCATTTTATAACCATTATGGTTCTCACATAATATTTTATACATGAAACATTAAAGTGTTTATTACAAAGCAGAAAAATCTAAGATTAGAAAAACTAAAGGTCAAACATCTTAACTGAATTTCATGTGAGCTCATTTGTCTGCAACTATAGGAATTTTAAGCCTATAGCAGTGACTACAGAGGCTATATATATATTACCAGCTGGGTTTCAAACATCAGTTATTCTACACTTAAATGATGATTTAAGCCTGTACAGAATAGCAAAAAGGAGACTAAATGGGAGAGTTTGGTCCTCTGTTCTGCTTTATCCCTCAAAATCAAATACTACCAAATATTATCTCAATGAACATCCAATCTGATTTCCTTTACGGGAGCTGGAACTCACCTGACTGCCTGGGAATCCAATCCAACTTGTCAATTCAGCAACTGATTTTTTTCCCTAGTTAATTTTTCTGTCACATCAACATAAAGCACAGGACAGCTATCAGTAGATCAGTTTGCTGAGGTTTAAATAGTCATAGGGCTTGTAACGGCAAATGAATGCCATTTTAGTCCAGACTGAGAGGTTTTACTTTAAGAAGCTGTAAGAACCTCCAATTCTGGTGGTAAGAATACAGCACTTTGACATATAGGAGATATGATGGAGAGAAAACAGTTTGCTCTACTAAGACAGTTTTCAGTAAACTAAGTTAAGGCAGACATTTGTATCATGGATTTCCTCTCCCTCCCACCAACCCCTTCCTCCTCTGCCACCCCCCACCCCAAGCAACCAGCCAGGTAGCCAGGATCAGTGGGATCAACCTGCAGTACTCCACAGAAGATCTGAATGCTTTACAAAATGTAAATAAAAATGCTTCAAAACTGAGAGGTAAGTCTTCACTATGACCTACTAATAACCAGTAGTAACTACTAACCACCGACTAATAATCCAATAGCTGAAGTATTAAACTTCTGAAGCCTTCCCTTATTTCCCTGTATGAATTCCTGACAGGACTAAGTTCTTTACAGTCAAAAATGCTATCTTCCTGGTTTACAAATAGCTACTTTTTAAAAATTTATTTCTATCTATAGTGGTACAGTGGTTATGTAATTTAGCACTTACTGTGCAAACACCATTTGGATAGTGTTCCTTCACATAGGCTTTCATTGCTGTTTCAACTGAATTTCTCCACGATTCTATGGCATTTTCAACTTCGTGGGGTCTAGGATCAGTAGCCTCCTTTCTTAAGTGATCAAATTTAAAAGAAATCTTGTTCTTGGGATCCAAAAATTTTCCATTTCCCAAATCACCATGTTCTGTTATCAAAACCTGTGTTAATAAAATTTTAGTTAAAATTTTACATTTACATTTATATATATATATTAAAAAATTTATTAAATTATAAAATCAGTTATTAACATTTGCTATTTAATAAAGAGGGAAAGAAATGCCATGCCCAGTCTGATTATATCCCACATTTAACTGAAGCCTACTCACATCCAGACTCACACTTTATTATGCATACAAAACATGCATATAGCAAGAGAGAAAGCTAATGTGATACATTGCCTCAGAAAACAAATTTGAATCTTACCCTCTTACTGCAACAAACAATGCAAGATATAAATTCATGTCTTCTAGTACTGAAGATGAAGCAAATAGTTTTTACAGCTCCAAAAAAACATCTGACTGAATTCAGCCAACATCACAGACTGAAATTTCAACCTTTTTAGTTGCCCCTATGTGATTAACTTATGGAACTGGTACTACTGGAGGGGCACAATCTCTATGTTTTGGTGGGGAAGATGCATTTCTTCTAATTTTCTTGCCAAGAAATGTTCCAATACCAGAACATCTTTAAGAGTTTAAGGAAGATCACAAGTATTTAGTTGTATTTGTACCTGTTCATCATAACCGTCAATTTTTACTGGAGTAAACTGGTCCAAGTTGTACTGTGCAAATGCACTACAAGAGAAAAAAACAACAACAAAAGGCTGCATCAAGCACAATCTTTTTCTTTAGTAGCTGCAAGATATTTAAGTCATAGCTAATAATCTGAGCAATGATGCATAATAAAATATCAATTCTTTATTATCTAGCAGCCCCAGATTCTTGGAATCATCTTGGTTCACTCAGTGCTCATATTACAGATTCTAAACACCATTTCACAAAGATATATGTTCAAAACTAACCTGATGTAGACAAACACATAAGCTTTACAGTAACCCATAGAAACTGGAGGATGAGATAAAGTTTAAATTCAACGGGGATCCAACTTACTAAGCCAGACATCTCTGTTCTTACAGATGAAATTAATTTTGGCATAAAACACAGTAGGCATAATGTTTTGACATAAAAGTAGGGTCTAAGATGTTTAGTAACTTCTACTAAGAAATAGAAAACAAAATCCAAAAAGGTGAGGACTAATTCCAAAATCCAAGTCATCCATTTCCAAAACAGCTGCTCTAATCATTAGGATACAACACAGATCTCTCCTCTGCCAAAAATTTAATCTTGATCAAAGATGCCCAACACACACAATACAGTTTTACTTGCCAAGCACACATCTTTTAAACAAACCACTTACTGATTATGAAAGTCTAACTGAAAAAACATCTTGCTTTTATGCAACTGAGTATGTGGCATCTGGTACTTACTGCGCTGCTCCTTCCCTGAGAAGATTATCATTATTAAGCAGCAACCGAACATCTGAAAGGAGATATTCACAACATAAAAGTACAGTTAACTCAGAAACTTGTTTCAGTCACATAACAAATGTTAACAGACTGTACAAAGCAAAAAACCCAAACCACTCCATACCCACTGAGATTACTAGGTAGGCAGTTTATTGCTTTGTATTTCATAATTTTGACTGAACAAAATGAAAAGAATGGTATAGAAATGGATCTCTTCCAACACAATCTGGTAAGCAGATATAAGCCATATTCAACAGGCTGTGTGACACCTCTAGGAATCTGTCAAACTAGTTTTTAGAGTTCTGAATGAGAACAGCACAGAATTCTAACAAGTTCACTTTAAAGATGTATAATACCAAATCCCTCACACTATATTGTTGTTACTGTATTCTGATGACACTTATACAGTATGTGTTGCACTTACTGTTTTTTAAGCCTTACCAGTTTTGGTCTTGTTCCATAATGACACTCTACTAGTCAGAGGACAATATATGACAACAGCATTTCTTCTACCATCATACAAGAAACATATGAATACAGAATAAAGTAAATACTCTCCTCAGAATAACTTCATATTTACTATGGAGCAAATTTGTTATTTATGTGCTTGACTTACTTCCTTATTATTTACTAGGCACTGTTTAATAATAATTTAATGCACTGCTCATAAACTAACCAATCATTAGTCTCTCCATACCACATTACACTCTTCTAAATATTCCCAAGGTATCATTCAAGTGAAAAAAAAAAAACACCCTGGACTGAATTTGAAGTATTTTTCTTTAAAAACACACAAACAAAAAAACCCTCCTCGAATGAACCAAAAAAAAAAAAAAAGAAACCCACCTAAACTAAAACACTCCACAACTACCCCCACCCTCCTAAACCAAACAAAATCACAATTTACAGAACTGGAACTGAAAGTTTTCTTTCTCTTTTTAAGAATGCAGTCTGAATCTCATTGAACACTGGACACACATTTATGATCAAATGTTTGCTATGTATTTTCAAACATTATTTTTGAGGAGGTAGTTGCAACTATGAACTAGCTTAACAATAAAGTTTATAGCAGTACTACTGTAAGAAATTTTAATAACCTTCAGGGAGCTGAGTTAAGCTGCTCACCAACTGCTTACTTCACAAATGCAGTACTAGTTAAGTTTAAATAATAATCAGCTGGTCACAGTTCAACTCAAAAACAAGAGACTTGAAAAAGAATTGCATTCTTTAACAAATTTAAGCTCTCTCCTGTCTGAAATTGAACTACAGGTTCAGTATACCTAATTTACTTCTTTATTTAAATAGCTTCAGAGACATTTGTAAACCACAGCTTTAAAACATATGCCTTTTTATACAGTATGTATGCCCACATATCTTGATGCCAGACAAACACAACAATTCTTAAAGAAAAGTAACATCTTAGGTAAAGTTCGGGCAACAAGAGTTGAGACAAGGTAATTTTAAATTTCCTTTCAGTTTACCAATACACTCAGTAAAATGAAGTGTGCCCAGAACTTAAGGGTCAGAAATGTTTGGAGAAGATTAATATTCTTTCCACAAATGGCATTAGGCAGTAGTCCTCTATATATTCAAGGTTAAGTATTTGTAATGCTATTCCTTCTTAAAACAGAAAAAAAGACCATTTTAATTTCAGCTAGTTTAATTTCTGTTGAAAAATACAGTTGTTTATCAAACACCGAAAATAGTACATGTGGTTTCTAAATGAAAACCCCAGCACCTGTTAATTCATGACTGATTAAAAACAGAGAGAAAGCTTGTTCTTACATCACAAAGAAAAGTAGTACTTTCCTCCATTTAAACTTCAAGCTGTCTCGTGACAAAAGGTTATTATGCCAAGCTACAAAACCAGCTCTTACAGTGTGGGAGCTACTACTATGTGAACTACATGAAACTCAGGAGAGTGATCAGCAATACAATTTTGGATATAGATGCCTTAAGTGAAAGGACAGAGCAGACAGATACTCACCATTGAACACCTCATTGAATTCCCCAGGAGGAGCATGAATTATGAATTTTGCCGCTATACGCACCTTAAATACAAAAACAATCAGGTAGTTGTATATACTTGTATTCATTCCTATTCAAACCAGTTATGCATTATGTAATTTTAATAGCCAGACATGAATTTTTTCAACTCCTACTGTTTCACATATTTGTTTCGATTATTTTAACTTCCTGTCTTCATTAAAAACACAGAATGTAAAGTTCCACCTCTTCAGACAGAATAAAGCAGATTATATGTGATGGAAGCAGATGAAGAAATTGAATCATTCATGTTTTGTAATTATTGGCAAAAAGAAAAAGATGAATATAACACATAAGATCAGTAACATATTCGCAATCTATTTTAACTTTCAGTCCATGGATGCCTGGGAATCAATACACAATCCAAAAGAGCCAGAAACCATGATGAATATACACTTGATCTTCAAAGCCTCTCTTCTAATTTTACTACACATCCTATGGTTCTATACTTTCCAAAAGGTCCACAGGTAGACAGTAACTGATAGACTACACAAGTTTAAAACCACTGCAGAGACACTAAACCATGTAATTTCACCTGCATCTACCTATGACCTCTTATTGCCACAGGATCAACAGATAAAGTTTAAAAAAACCACCTTGAGATCTTAATTAATGCAAGTCCTCCAACAATTGCCTTCAGCCACAACTTCTTGCAAAGAAAATAGAGCATAAGCCAGGATTTCCACTACAAGTATGTGCACCTGCCCTGGCTTTCTCCCTTCTGCTTGCACAAGCCCTTGTACAATAACACAGTGAATAAAATCAGAAAGGTTATTGCTCTTTTTTTTCCTCAGACCAGTTCCCTGACCTGGTTCACTGCACAGCTACAGATACATGTGCTTGCAAAAGAAACACAAAAATACTTTTTTAATGTGAAAGAACTTAAAACCTCTCAACTATTACCTTATTTACAGAATGTCACTCAGAAGATTTGCTTTCATTTATTCTTCTTTCCCCCTTAAACTGTTATGGGTACCCATTATAGAAACTAATTAAATAAATGTTGGTTCCCTAATTTCACCTGACAAAAGTTCCTATCTTTCATACTTTACAGTCATCCAAGTTCAGCAGACACTCTAAGCTCTCTTGCATGCTTGATATGATGTTGCTATTCAAACACAGGATACCACTTGAATCATAGTTCCCATTCCTAACACCTTCAATTACATTTCTGTGGAATAAAGAGCTGGGAGATTCAGTGTCTGCACTCTCTGAGAGCACTGTTTGAAATTAAGGTTTTTCAGAACCACCATACTCCATTAACAAATATCTAAAAATAACTAAAGAATGCCTCGCATTTACACATTTATATGTATTTGAAACTACAAAAGAACTGTCTGAGCATGCTAAAGCTCTTGAACTGACTTGCAAACAGCTTTTACTAGCAGCAATACAGCCAGTGCTCAGGCCCCTCGTTATTGACACAGCCCAAATTTCAAACAGTCTCCAGGAGAGGTGACTCAAGCTTAGAGTACCCTGACAGTGCTTAGCTGCATCACTAGCAGTGTTAAAACCTCAAGTGACCAGCCTAGGCAGCATTCAGCTCACAAACAGCACACCACCACTAGAGCTGCTAATGGAAATGGAAAAGCTGTCAGTTCCAAACTTTCTAACCTGAATGCAACGTTTTGGATTGCAGACAGCCTTTATCTGCTACCTCAAATGTTCACATCAGAACTCTTCTCTCCATGTAAACATGAATTTGCATTATACTGAGATAAATGTAACAGGCTTTACTCTTCTCAAAAGAGACAGAGAGACAAGAGCATCTTCTTCTATGGCAACTTAAAGCCATAGAAGCCAATTAAAGCACTTGCCCAGGTAAGAAGAAAGAAGACTTGGATTATCTCCTTTGAACCAAAGGAACTAATCTGCATTAGCAAGATTATGCCAACCACCAATCTGCACACTCCATACCTCTCCTGCTGAAGTCAGGGCACTGTACTCAGCTCAATGTTCAATCCAAAGAAAAAAAAAAGGATGTGAAATACAGCTAACCTATGATACTATTAAAGCACTCAAGAAGGAGAAGGGGAAGACCGGCTCCAAGATTCTATCATCAGGGCATTTTACCAAATGACCAACTGTGGTGGTTTTGGTTGGGGTTTTCTTCTCAGTGGCTGGTATGGGGCTGTGTTTTGGATTTGTGCTGAGCACAGGGTTGATAATATATAGATGTTTTTGTTATTGCTGAATAGCATTTGCATCGAGCCAAGGCCTTTTCTGCTTTTTGTACTGCCACACTGGCAAAGAAGTTGGGGGTCCATGGGATGTAGGGAGAAGACACAGCCAGGACAGGTGACCCAAACTGATTGAAGGGATATTCCATACCATATGACATCATGCTCGGTATATAAAGGGGGGGGGGAAGGAGGAGGAAGGGGGAGATGTTTGGAGTGATGGTGTTTGTCTTACTAAAGTCACCGTGACACGTGATGGGGCCCTGCTCTCCCAGACATGGCTGAACACCTGCCTGTCTATGGGATGTGGTGAATTAATTCCTTGGTTTGCTTTGCTTTTGTGCATGGCTTTTGCTTTCCCTGTTAAACTCTCTTTATCTCAACCCACGAGTTTTCTCACTTTCACCCTTCTGATTCTCTCCCTGATCCCACTGATGGGACAGTGTGGGGCTTGGTGGCTGATACCAATAACCACCAATAGTCAGGGCTGATACCAATAACTACCAATGGGCCTCACACTTAAGAGCAAGTATTTAGTATTTTTGCTTTCAGCAAACATATCTTCCTGTCTCAACTGGACTAAAGTGCAGCAGACTCCTGGCTCAAAGTTAGATGAAGGAACACTTCAGGTGAACAGGACTGCTCACCCCTGCCAAGGCCAGATTAGCTCTGGGCAAGCAGAAAAACAAGACTCAGAGACATTTGGAGCCCTGAAATAACAAGTCCATCAATTCTGGGCTGGCAGAAGCTATATAAGCAAAACTTGGGTGCCCAAACTGTACTCTGAATGACTGCATGCTTTAAACCTGTAATATCTCTAAGGTGAGATATTAGGTCTTTACTAAAACTGGAATACTACCTCATTTTCACCTGTTTTGGTAACGTAAAACTGCTTTTGCTTCTTTTTTCGCTATCAGCAAAAATTATTCTTAGCAGTCTGATTAGCTATGGTATAAGTAATATTCATTCCAAAACATTCAACAGTAACAGATGCTTCTTCAGGACAGACCAAACTAAACATTACTTTTAATGAACATTTTCCTAGTAAATTCAATGCCTCACTAAGAATTTTTTCAGTGTGATAATTCATCATAGATGACACTTTTCACAGAACAAAAACACAATCATGCAAATTTGCAATGAACATCTCACCAAGTATAAAGTATATTCAATGCTTACAGTAGCAAAAAACCTGAGGTGTCTTCAGAAATTGCATCTGTCAGCTAAGACTCTGCATTTTGTTAACCTGCCTTTGTGAAGCCAATTTAAAAGTAATGAACTTTGCTTCAGCAGTTAAGCCAAATTAACTTATCTGTGATGACTATTTGAAAAAGCTGTAATTCCCCAACTCATATATACAGGGAGCCCATATAAAAGAATTAAACCCAGTAGTCTCACTTAGCACATTACAACAGAAAATCACTTACAGCTTTATTGCCACTGAATTGTTTCAGAAATTAATGCTCTAAAAGAGGCTTCTGTTTTCCAAAACCAGACTATGCTGAAGGATAAATGAATGCACTTCCATAAGCCCCGACAAGATGAAAATCTCTCCCTTTTGCCAGTAAAAAGCCTCTGGCTCAGCTTACACTTGGGGAAGCACAATTAAAACAAGGGACAGTCCATATAAAATGTGGTGTTTATGGACAACTAAAAAAAAAATAAATTAAGAATGCACATATAGCAAGAGGCACATAACTTGTAATACAAAGCGACAGGTAAAAAACCTCAACTGCACTTCAGTCCAGCTGAGACAGGAAGCTTTTCTGCTGAAAACTGTTTTAAGAAAACATGTCAATCAGATGCATTACAGCTGCAACCAATGCTGATTACTCAATACACTGAGACTTTTAAAAATTGACTTGAACAGGCCAAAACAGAAACAACCTAATATTTTAGAAGTCTAAGTGACAAACCCTTTTTCACCCAAGAGAACTGCACCTTCACACACAGTACAAGAACCTTACACAGGTATCAGCAAGTAACAAAAAATTAGGTTACAGTTGAGTATTTCTTGAGAAAATTCAAAAGTAAAGACAGACAACACCTGAAGTTTCTCCACTTATTACTCTAGTTACTCCTGAAACACCACCTAAAGTTGAAGACAGTGTTTTATTGATGTAGCTTTCCAAGATTAGATTTATGGACACTGTTTTCAGTTTAAAGTCTTCAGAGTGGCAAAAACCTGACATCCAGTCATCAGTGGTTCACAAAAAGGCAGCTTTTACTACAAGGCTATGTAAGGAACTGCGCAGTTATTAAATTTCTTGAATGCAAAAGCCCCCAATCTAAATATGTTTTTATGAAACATGACTTTGTGCAGGTTTGAGTATTAATTTGGGCAAATCATACAGAAGCTGAGAGTAAGTTATATATAAAAAAAATATAAAAAAGATACTTTGAAAACATTGAGAAGGGAAGCATTCCACACTGTAGGTGTACTCTCTCTCCAATTTTCACATATACACCACTCTCAGTCTTGCTTAAATGGAACCCTGGTATCAGCAGGTAAGAACTAGCAATATTTACTTTCTCATTGCAAGTGAAGCCAAATGCTACTAATCACATCAGTTATAAGCTTTATGATTTTATAAAGTAAACTATTTCAGTTAAGGTAAAAATTCAGACAGAGAAGTTTAGCAAAAGAGAAAAGGACAGGTTTACTGCATGTGATGAGCAAGGTTATTAGGCATAATGACTAGAGATTAAAACAATTAGTCTGTCAACAAATGCCTACACTTAGTTACAACAGTATTTGCAGTTTTCAGATTGCACAAGCACAGAGAAATGCAGTAATGTACTGAATGGTGACAGTTATGCTAAATCCATCTTTCTTTTCAACCTTCTGCCTTTATTTCACAATCTAATTT